ACTTTGACCTTTCGGAGGAGCTACAGCTACGACTTCTAGACTTTGCTAAGACTCCTACCCGACAGGTCTACAGATCGAACCCCTACTACCTACGGACCCTACGACAGTCTACCAACCGTTACAAATACACAGGTCACGGGTTCGGGGTCGACACAGATACTGTACACAGGTAAGGTGAGGACTAGGGATCGAGCCTTGGGATCTGCATCGGCTACTGCGGACAGGTGAATACCGTTTCACTCCCGCCGGCCTTAATCCGAGGTCCTCAGAGAATAACTCAGTCCAAGGCAGGACCTTTACCTTTCTTATCTCTCTCGTAGGCCCTAACTATGTTGGGAGCTGTTTCCAGTAGTTCTGTTATGGTAAACCAGCGATCGTCAAACCGGACCTTATATTGCTTCTGTGGACGACCTCTACCTACTGTTCTGAACACGTCTTCACCTACAATGCCGTCAATGTCGTATCTTCCGTCCATGTCCGGAGGGATCAAGGACCTTCTAGATGGAAACTGTTGACTTGTGACACACGGCAACAACTTTGATGCATGGAACACCGGGTAGGTGTGGAGGTGTGCTGGGATCTCCACTGTGTAGGACGGCCCATCCTCTCTGCCCTTGACTTCTAGAACTGGCCATGGTCCCCTGTACGCTGGCAGTTACTTCTGCGAGATGTTTTCCTCAGGAGCAAACTCTTTGGACTTGACCCAGACTAAGTCGCCTACTTGGAACTGCGATGGGCGGCGGTGCTTGTTGGCTTACTCTATCATTCTATGCTGGGCCTTAGCTAGCTCTTTCTCGTGCTGTATCGCGAACTCCCTAGTACCGGGCGGTAGCCTGTGAATCTGATCCCGGTTAAGCCCCTCAAAAGGTCTGCGCGGTCTAAAGGACTTGTGTAACTCGTTGGGAGTGCGACAGGTGGACGAGTGCATGCTGTTGTTATACGCACTGGCTACCTTGGGCAACATCTTGTCCCAATTGACTTGATCTGGTCTAATGTACATACGCAGAACTTGTTGCAGGATCTTGTTCATCTGCTCAGGCTGACCGTTAGTCTCTGGATGGCGGCTGGACGACATCAACAACTTTGATCCATAAACTTTCATCAGTTCCTGCCAGTTCTGACTGGTGAACCGGGTGTCTCTATCGCTAACTATGGACAATGGGACTCTATGTTCACTAACCCAAAAATAAAAAAACTTCTGAATAACTAACTCGGTGCGTGCCTCTGCAGGCAAAGGAACAAAAACAACATACTTACTAAATTTATCAACTATGACCATGACTTGGCTCTTGCCGTGCCTACTCTTGACGCCAGCGTCCATAAAGTCAATGCACACTGAATCTCCTGGCTGATCAGGCATAGGCAAGGGTCTGAGAAGACCTAGAGGGGCACGCGTAGTGGTCTTATTTCTCTGGCAAACTTTGCAACTGCGAACATTCTCTATGCAGTCGGCTTTCATTCCTGGCCATGTATGCGCATGCATCAGGTTGGCTAAAGTCTTTTGCCAACCGAAATATCCGTCTGTGTCGTGGCATTCCCCTAGGATCAAACTACGAATCTCCTCGCTGTTAGGGACGCACAGACGGTCTACTACATTAGTCTTCTCAAATAACAACCCCTCTGTAGTGCGGTCATCTGGTTCGGTCTCAGGGGCCTCCTTAACTCTCTTGAGGATTTCACTATAAATAGGGTCCTGCGCATACGCCTGTCTAACCTTCTCCTGCAGATCACTCTGCAGATCACTCCCTATATCCAGATAGTGAACTATGGCTCCAAAGTAGTCTGATCTCCTACTTAGAGCGTCCGCAACTACATTGTACTTTTGTGATGACCCGTCCGTACATGGACTGAAACACACAACTGATTTCTGAGTTCTGCCCATAGACTGAACGCCCTGCTGAGTTTCCCGCTTGCTACGAAGTCTGTGTGTGCACACTTGCTGGACTGCATGTCTGACTGAGTGCTGGATGGCTTGAGTGTGTGTGTGACCATGCCTGTCTGAGTGTGGTTGGCTTGGGTGTGTGTGTGACCGTGTCTGTCTGAGTGTTGGTTGGCATGAGTATGTGTGTGGCCCGTCAGGGCACTTGCTCGTTCGTTGGGCCCTCAGGGCCGGTACTTACCTGTGGCCGTGACATTGAGGGGTTGCCGCGGGGAAAAACACTCAAGTAGCGGGTAGGCTGGTACCGCACCTGGAAGGGGTAGATGTGCAGGTACCGGAGGCCGAGCAGAAGAAGACAAAACTGGCATTTTGTAGGTTAGGTCTAGGCGGATATCAGTCCAACCAGTTTGGGTCTAGGGCCTGTACGGGCAATATCAGAGTCTGCAATGATGTTTCCCTCCGAA